ATTTAAAAAAATATTGTGAGACAACCCCAATTATAACCGTAACTCATTAAAGTCAGATGGGAAAACCGCGGAGCTTAATTAGCTAAGAACTTACTGTTTTCCATAATTAAGTGCTTCTAATATCATTTTATCAATTTAGTCCTTTGACTTTTCAAATTGCTTGTACACCTCAACAGCAGCCCAAGAAAGTTGACCTGAAAATGAGCGCAATGTGGTAGAGAATTATGCGTTCTTTACCTATTTCTAGAGAGTGTAGAGGGTCCCCACCGGAGAGTCGGAGACGATTGAATGGAATGACATTTAATGCTTTGTAATTCAAACAACATAATATTTTTTTAAATTAATGAATTAGATTTTTCTTTTTTTCACAAAAAAGAAAAACCAATCACCACATTGTTTATATTTTTGCTTGATGCAATGCTATTTTTATAATATTAAATAGTATTTAAAATTATATTTTTAAGTATCAATAAATAGATTTTAATAAAAAATTAATTAATATGTAATAATAAATTATACTATAAATTTATAATATCACGTGATTTTATAATTATATTATTTTTTATTTTTATAATTAAATAATAAAAATATAAAGTTAAATATGCAACAGTAATGAAAAGTTTCAAACTATAATCAGGTTTCCTTTGGTGTAGGTTTTGAATTTCGGTTTTTTTCATTTGTTGGTTTTTTTATTTTTTATATAATTTTCAGCCATCAACTAGGGCGGTTCGCTTGTGATGGTGATGCTTGATGGCCGACAGTTTTATGTTCTCGTCTAGTTATTTTGTTAATCATTTACGAATATATAAATATTATAAATAATTTTTTAATTTTAAATTTATTTTAAATTAATTATAATTTTTTATTATTTATTTATTTTAATAAATCATTTAATTATAAAAATTTTTATTATTTATTTATTTTTTAAAGATATTATAAATAAATATAAATATTATCTTTAAATTTTTAATTTAAAAAAATTAAAAAAACTAGGAAATAAAGTATTGCTTTATAAGTAAATCTCAAATTGCGCATAAATTATCTTGAAAAAATTGACCGCTAATACAAGATCAATTATCATTCTTCTAAAAAAAAGAAGGGGGAAAAAAAAAAAAAGAATAGATCAGAAAATACCTGAGATGCTTGGGGTAAGAATCCCATCTCCGATCACCATAGAAGTCCCAAGGATGGTGACGAGAAGAACAATAACCTGAATAACCTTGTTGTTCTCGAGCACCTTTTTTATTATGGAAGCCCTTCTCAGCTGATTCGACGGTGGGTCCAATCTGTAGTTGGAGATCTCAATGTCCTCCGGTTGATGATTCGGAATCAAGCTGATCTCCGCATTCCGGTTCAACAATGAATACAAGGCGAACGTTCCTCCTGCAATTACATTGTTTCCCTTCACATATTAGTTTAATCAAACACTTGTTGGTCATCAATTAATTAACCATCAAAAAACAACAGAGAGTGAGTCCGCCGGCAAGCTTCAGATAAAGCATTTACCTTCGCCGTTGTCGTTGGCCCAGAGGACGATAAATGCATACTTAAGGAAGGGTATGAGCACGATGGTGTAGATAACGAGAGATAGAGCCCCGAGGATGTCTTCAGTATGATCAGTTGACCCGAATCCATCGGGAAAAATGATGGAAAAGACGTAAAGGGGAGATATTCCGATGTCTCCATACACAACTCCAATGCTCTGAAATGTCAAACACAACGTCTTACCCCAATCCACCTGCAATGCAATATTTTTATACAATAAGTAATACTATACAAACAGAAACGGGTAAAGGCAAAAGATAATCGAAAGTGGGAGACTTTACATTGGAGGTGCGACTGTTTGGAGTACTAGAAGTGACTCTGCCGGCTTCCAGGTTGAGGGAATCGACACGGCGGAGCTCCGCCCATGACAAGTTCCGACCTTTCAGTTTCGGTTCGGCTTCAGGCACCATTATCTTTACATTCCGATTATCATTCTCTGTCATTTCTCTTTCTTTGAGGATTATCTTTTCTTGTGGAGAGGCTCCAGTCAATTTATTGGAATGAAAGTCCCATCTTGTGGTTGGCGAACCAAGAAAAAAGTCCACTCTTCTTAGCGCACATAGCAGTAATATTTTACCATAGGCGATAAAATCAAATGGGCATGGATTATTTTTTATTGGATTTATTTAATATGTGTTTAAGGGTATAGATTAAAAATATATTAAATATATTTTTTTAATATAAATTTATATTAAAAAATTAAATTTATTTTTTAATTTATTAATTATTTAATTAAATTTATCTAATATTAAAATTAATATTAATTTTTATATTTTATATATATTTATAATAAAAAATATAATAATATATTTTTATTTTATACTCTTAAAATATAAAATAAAAAAATCCTTTTTTATTTAAGAACTCTGTTTTCTGAGCTTTGTGGGTCCCAAGTCAAAATCAAAACCGACGCGATCTGGATATCAGCCACTCACCCTATCAGTATCACACACGTGACCATCCTCCTGTCCCAACCAAAGCCTATGAGTTAAAAAATAACACATCAAAAATATAATAAGTAAATATATTTTTTGAACATATAATAAGTAAATATATTAGTTAAATAAAAAAAAAAAAGATTTTAAGTGTGTGAATGTTACTTTTTAGGTTGTGTATCCCTTTACTCTTAACCAATAATATTTTTGATTTATCAAATTAAATTTTATATTATATTTTTAATGTAAAATTTTGGTTTAAATATCATTTTGATCCCTCAACCTTTTACTTTGATATCAAAATTATGTCTTAACTTTAAAAAGTATCAAAATTATCCATAAACTTTCATTTTTAGTACCAAAATTATCTCTAAACTTTCATTTTCAATACAAAATGACTCTTTCATTAGTTAAGTGGATAGGTGGCACGTTAAAATGCCACATAATCACATTTTAAAAAAAATAATAATTACGTGAAAAACATACCATATAAAAAGTGATGAGATGGTATTTTTTTTTCATATGTTATTTTTTTATTTAAATAAAAATTAATTTATAAATTAAATGAATTTAAACATAATTAAGTTAATTAACTTTCATTTCGTCATATTCTTCTTTCTCCTCATCCTCAGCCTCATCCTTGGCATCATCATCTCACCATTTATCTTCACCATCCTCTTTGCCATCCTTCTCATCATCTTCACCATCCTCTTCCTCTTCATCATCCTGGTTCCTCGTGGAACCCAGATTTGGGTTCCTCATGGAACCAGGTGCTAGGTTTTCCTCTTCATCATCCTGGTTCCTCACGGAACCCAGATCTGGGTTCACGAAACCTAGTGCTATGTTCTTTGAGGAACCCAGTTCCTTAAGGAACTCAGTTCTGGGTTCTTGGATTCCCTGAAGAACCTAGGTTTTGGGTTCTTTGAGGAACCTAGGTTCTAGGTTCTTCGAGGAACCTAAATCTGGGTTCCTTGAGGAACTTGATTCTGGGTTCTTGGGTTCCTTGACGGAAGCTCCTTGCACTTGTTCTAGTATCGTTAAGGTAAGAGAAAAGATATCTTAGTCTTTTCTCTAGCATGTTCTTCGATCTTTGATTCTAGTTCTGAAAATTTTTTTCTAGGTTTGTGTTTTTATTTTTATTTTATTTTTTCTTGTTTTCAATTTGCGCGAGATTGCATACAAAGATGGTGTAACGAGAATGGAAACACAACTTGTGAAATTTGTCTCCAGCTTTGAAATTCAAGTTTCTAATAATCAAAATCAAATTTTTTTTTAAAGAAAACAGAGAAACACTACTTTTCTAATCTTTGTTCCTTCATTTTAGAAATTTTGATAAAAAAATATTTAGCCGATTTTATTGCTATTATCCCAATCAATTTCCAAGTTCTCTTGCCTTGTTTCGATTTTTTTTTTTTTTTGGTATTTACAGATCTGGGAAAGAGAGAGAAAGTAGACAAAAAGAGAGAGATATTTGGGATTAGAGAAAATTGATGGATTTGTTGGATCATAACTAGAAAAT